CCCTTGTTCCATTTGAAAAAACTGAGTTAACATCATAATAACCATATTGTAGATTTTGAAAGAACCTGTGTACAGATGGAAAGTAAAACTTAATCGAAACTATTTTGCATGATTGAAAGTCAACTCTTTCAACTCATTCATGGCATTCTAGATTTAAAATTAAAAAATGGATATTTCAAGATGATAAATGTCAATAAGTTGCAAATGAGGTGTCGTTATATTCACAGTGTTATTCTCTATCGAGAATAGTGAATATATATACCAGGTGTCCCATTTGAAATAAGAAAATATGAATTATTTCCGGTCAAACCGAAAGTAACAGAAAACAACTGAACACGTCAAATAATGCATACTTATGTACTATACTCATACACCGAATTTCATTTGCTTATATGTATAAACCAAAAACTTATAGGGGTGAGCCACTTTTGAGAAACACCCGGTATACTTGGTATTTTCTCATTGTTATAACAAAAACAGCAACATTCACTGGATTATGAATTTCAACTGAAATAGCTTATATGCGAGACAAAAAATGAACTTAAAACCTCAGCAAGTGTTAATAGTATATTATGTAACAAGTGTTGTAAACGTCCTTTTAGTAACGAGTATTTTAAACACGAGCGGAGCAGAGCGGAGCGAGTGTTTAATAAACGAGTGTCTAGAAGAATTTATAAACGCGTTACATACTATGATTTTTCCACGAACTCCGAAAATTACATTAGCATACCTGCTATTTCTGCTAACCTATAAAATAATTCGAAAGGAATGGGAATTGAGAACATAATACATGCAACTGCATGCAACCAGCGAGACACGTATAAGTTTTATTGGTTGTAGATGTGTCCAGTCCATTGCTTACTAACCTTTGTTTCACGTTAATTGTCATGCTTAGCGCAAAATAAATAAATTGTTCTCAAAGATGGATGCTTCATTTTCATACTTCTTGGAGATATGCAACTCGATATGCAAGTACCAGAACATTCTCTTCGATTTCACTTTTGTCTACATTCCGCATATATTTTCAATGGAGAACTCTGATACAAACGAATATTGTTTGAATAATTCTGATACAAAATTTTAAAATAACAGTTGACAGTTGATACAATTGACAGGCCAGACATGTCTCAAATTACTGAAGCTGTGTTTAATGAACTGTGTTGCCATGGTGATGTGTTTAAGAAATCGTGTTGCCATGGTAACGTGTTTAATATTTTGAATAAATCACAGATCGTCAATCCGTGATTAATCGATCATTTAGCGTGGTACAAATCCGTACGCTGAATGCCATTTTAGTTATGTGAGTAGAAAAAAATTATTATGACATGAGAAGCACCGGCTACTTGAAACAGAAAACATGAGCGGAGGCATATATTTCATTTTCATAAGGATAATTGAGTAACTTGAAACAAGTCACAAAATGTTGATATTTTTGTTATCAATGAAAAAATACCAAGTATACGCTATATCGTTGTATTCCAAATTAAGTGACACGTAATTTCCGATGACAATATACGTGAGATTCTAGGTTACTCGTGATTACTCATTTTGATGATACCATCAGGTGCTATTAAACGGGATCTCAATTAGATTCCTATTACTTCATTCGAGTTGATTCATCTTGTGCTTGGTCTTCCTAGAATCATTGTGGACACAGTTGGGCGTCCGGGAATATGTAGACAAATGAGTGCGTACTTGCAACCCATACGAGTAGAAAATTAGCATCCCGTGCGAGTTATACACCATACATTTTCCATGGCTTCAACATATTGGTAATAGCGAAATGATTCAACATCAGAAATAATCTATTGATTCGTAATCATCTCGAATTAGTCATGAGTGATCATTTGAATATCACATCGTTTGACACGATTAGTTGCCCGCAGTTGCTAATATAATCATATAATATTGAGTCTAGGACCTTTTATATGTCTAACCACTACCAATTTTCATCTTGTATCCCGCTTAGTTTCTTGATTCTTCTCCAAATTTTAATGTAGGTGCTGACAAGACACAACAGAACTGAATTTTGGCACGATGGGAGCTCATACAAGGAGCTGATGGATACTTCAACATCCTGTATCTCAATAACAAAGCAAGTTAGGACACAGGTTGATGATAACTTTATTCTCTGAAATATGACAAGAAATAACCTGAATTTTGTCGCACTCGTTCATTCACACCCTGAATATTGCTAGATTTTCGGACTAGATGCGAGTCGACACGCGTGGAATATGTGAACTTCAGTAGTGATCCGATGAGAGTTCTTTCCCAAATTATTTTCACCTATCTGTGCTTCAAGATAGAGCAGTCAGTAAGTCGTTGAAACTTTGAGAAGCATCGTGAACATGTGAAATCAACGCAATGCAAACGTCACGAATGCGTCACACATGCTTTGAAACGTCTATGAGCGTCAATGAAACGTGAAAAATATGTTGATGCATGCGTGACCCTTTCATGACATTCTCGTGACGTTTTGTCAATGTTTTGTTGTTTCAACGCTTTTGAGGACATCCTCATTTGGACTTCTCTGACATCCAGTTCGTGTACACTGGATGACGAATGGACATCCATAGGATATCGCGTTTCCAACTTTTGATCTATCCATATGGTATCCTTCATGGACATTTATTTATTCATCGATTTTAGTCATTGCATCTAATTATTTTCTACATTGATTCATTTTATATGAATTATATATAAAGTATAATTAATTTCCTAGAAGGAATGACATGAATGATGAGACAGTAATTCCTGGTATGAGATCATTCATGAAGTATCATCGACTATTCTATAATTGGAATTACAAATAGTGAACAAATATCACATATCATTGAGATATCTCTAAATAACATTCATTTTTTCTGTGACGAGAAAGAAGTTTGGCATTTCATCTCTGTTGGCAGGTTATAAATGTCACTTTTCATAGATTACTTTTTCCCCGTGGGACAAAAGTGTGTACATTTTTCTCGGATATATAGGGTGTCCGGAAATTATGCGCAAAAAATCAAGGGAATGATTCTGCATGAGAAAAAATGAAATTTATTTTATATACCGGGTGACCCGAAACCAATTTACCCCCCTGTATCTTCGTTGTTATTTTGTATGGATGTTTCAAATTTGGTACTTCGATTTGATGTTATGAATGTACAATTTAGCAAGTATCAATCCAAATATGTCACTTCCGGTTTGACCGGAAGCGCATCCAATTTTTATATTTCGAATAAGAACTATTATTTTTTTTGAAAATTACAATTTGGTATAGAATTACCTTTACAATGACATATCACAATCATACTTTTAATTTACAATTTGCTGGTATAATTGACATTTTATAAAAAAAATACTTTTTGTGTTCCCCTCGTAACGGAACATTTTCATGAAAGTATGCTGTGGAAAATTGAATTATTGTTGCTAACATGATATTGTTCAATCTTCCACAGCATACTTTCATGAAAATGTTCCGTTACGAGAGGAACACAAAAAGTAGGTATTTTTTTTATAAAATGTCAATTATACCAGCAGATTGTGAATTGAAAGTATGATTGTGATATGTCATTGTAAAGGTAATTCTATACCGAATTGTAATTTTCAAAAAAAAAGTACTTCCTATTCGAAATATAAAAATTGGATGCGCTACCGGTCAAACCGGAAGTGACATATTTGGATTGATACTTGCTAAATTGTACATTCATAACATAAAATCGAAGTACCGAATTTGAAACATCCATACAAAATAACAACGAAGATACAGGGGGGTAAATTGGTTCCGGGTCACCCGGTATACTTGGACCCGGAAATGCATAGTTTTTAAGATATAGAGTGTTGAACTTTTTAGAAAAATAGGTTTTTCATGAATATCTCAAATATTCTTTTACCAATCCTCTTCTAATATGACAATGATATTTTTCGTCATGAGGGGCTGATTTAGTCATACCTAAATTAGAATTGTGAAATCCAGTGGCGTCCCGGGGGCACCCTACCGAATATATTTGTCAATAAAATGTGCGGCACTGATTTTTTCATATTCTATATTCTCATATCCTAATAATCATTAAAAAAAACAACATTTTGGTTTCTTGAATTGTTTTGCTATCTTGCTGCGTTTCCGTGGGAAAAAATTAATACCAATTCATTGTATGAATTTGCGGAAAATATTGCTTCAAAAACAGGGGTGAAATTAAATATGTGATTCATGTGCATAGACGTAGAATAAGAATGAAGGTTCATTTCCTTCAAATATTTTATAATACATGTTTGACACACTTATTTGTATTATCGGAAACTACGCCTTCCTGGACCGAGAATACATAGTTCTCAATATACAGAGTGTAGAGTGTGTCAAACATGTATCAAGAAATATTTGAATAAATTAATCTTCATACCTGTTATATGTCTATGAACATTGATCACGCATTTATCATCACCCCAGTTGTTTAGCACAAATTTATGCAATAAATTTTACTTTTTTTATGGAAATGAAGCAAATTATCGGAACAACTCAGGACACCAAAATGTTGTATTTTTAGTTGGTCAATTGGTTGTGAAGATACAAAATTCAAAAAATCAGTAGCTCACATTTTATTGACAATAATATCCGGTAGGTTGCTACTGAACTTCATAATCCCAATTGAATCATAGCTATATCAGTCCCTAATGACAAAAACTATCATGTTCAGGTTCAAACATGGAACAAAGAATCATAAGTAGAAAATTAAGAGATATTTGACTATAAACATGAAACATTGAATCAGTTAGAGTAAGTGTTCAAAATGTCCAACGTTTCGAGGAATATAGGATTCTATATTCTTTTCTTGAGAATGAATTATTTTTCTGAACAGTTGAGGATCAGCTGTTAGGTGATTTAAGTGATATTCAATTATGTCTCACAACTCTTGACGTGAATTCACCTATGTAGCATAGACTTTCTGCTCAAGATACAACAAAACTGTGTAATCTATGCTAAGTAATATAGTTGAGTAATAAACTATTATTTTCAGTTCGAGTGCTACACAGATTTGAAAAGTGGGGCAGAAAGTGGCATGGATTTTACGAGTCGGTGGATATTCGATAAATCTGGAAATCCTACTGGCAATCTCACCTTCATCAGTACAAGAAGGATCGTTCCAGTGGATTTGAATGCTTTTCTCTACAAAGCTTTCAAAGTTATGTACAAATTCAATTTAATTTTGCAGAAGAATGATGACGCGAAGGTCTGGCACGACTTAGCAGAAAAATGGAAGGATTCTATTGAAAATGTATTGTATCATCAGGAAGATGGCATATGGTAAGACAATTGAGATCATAAACATTGTTATTTCTGCAACTGTCAGAAAAATTCATTTTTTCAATTCATTTTACAAGACTTAATTTCGTATTTCTTCGATTTCGAAATGCTGTTTCAATATTTTACGGAAAAATCTGAAAAAAAAAGTGCTTTCTCCAAGGTTTTTGCTAGGCGATAGATTGACTGCTCGCGTGTTATGGAGATTGATGGAGCATTCAAATAGCCCAAGGTGGCTGTGGCTATTTCGTTCTCAGGAACCGGAAGTGATTAATAATAAGTAGATATTCCAATGTATTGTGCACTTTCTGATCAAGACACCAAATTTTTTATACAGAGCGTGGAAGTTTGACTAACGTGAAATGTAGAATTCTCTCAATTTTCTAGTAAAATGAGTGATTGTATTCAGATACAGTTCTGAATAATCAAGGATAGAGGGTATAGTTGATCACTATCGAAGATATTCAACATGACGGCTGCTTGTGCCATTCCAATGGGCTTATATCACAAAAAAAAATTAATTCTTAATTCGATAGAACTCACCCAAACTAGCTCACCACCGCAAACCGTTTCTTGCTGTGTGCTCCCTACGTTTTCTAAAAAAATATTGAAATCCCCGATTTTTCGGACCTCTGAAAACGAGGCGATGATGTGACGTCAAAACCCTAATACTGAAACAAAACATTTCCGAGTGAGATGAATGATACATGATTTCTGACAGAGTGAATTAGCGCGAGATCACAGTTGAAAGAATTAATATATCAGTTGCCTCAGTCTCCGTCGGGCTTTTGGTATTTTCTTTTAACCATGGCGAGATGAGGTTTCTACGTCATAAGAGAGTCCGTTTTCAGAAGGTACTATTATTTATGTCCAAAAATAAAACATTACAGTTAATTTTTCGATCGAATTATGTCGTCAATCATTATTTATGTATAAAAGGATCATTATAAACATTGTTCGAGTTAAAACTTCTACTAAGGTGTACACGCCCATTCTGACGTTCATTATATTTGTAAAAACTTCACAAACGATAAGATTTCCACAAAATTTATTAAACACACGACATGTTTCGCTAACACAGTAGCTTCGTCAGGTGATATACTGGTACAATGAACTAAACTATATATCACCAACTATATATCACCTGACGAAGCTACTGTGTTAGCGAAACATGTCGTGTGTTCAATAAATTTTGTGGAAATCTTATCGTTTGTTAAGTTTTTACATTTATCATGGATTTCCATCAAGTAACGGCCGAGTCAATTAAAAAAAAATCATTATATCTATTGTCAAATTGAAACAATTTTTAATGAAAAAATGCTGAACGACTATGATGTTGTTGTCACAATGCAAGGTGTGTAACTTAATGAATTCAAACTTTGAAAAACACTAACAGATATGTCATTTCTGTGTCCGAACTCTTATCAAACTAATACCTTCTAGTGACTCTAGTCTGTTGTATGATCGAAGGGGGCAACAGAATCTGATTGCTCGAGTAGATACCGTGATAGCTAGATACATGATTCAAGAATGAATGAAAACTAGACAACAGAGTGAATAGCGCAGGGGCATCTTGTGAGTTCCATATTTGGCGATGCTAGAAGCATAATCCAAATATTACTGAATTCTAGAAGATAGTTCACCTACTGGGTTTGTCGGAATGACTCAAAATTGCGTTATTTGCTTCCTCATGAATCATTGCACCGCCAACTGGTTGTGGTCAGTTGACAGGTGATCAGAAAGCGATTCCAAACATGAAGAAGAATCCAGTGGTTGCCGAGCAAACGGCGAGATCTCTTAGAAGTCGAAAGATAAACGACCCGTCTTATAGCGTTTCTTCTGTTTGCAGAGTCTGACTAAAATTGCGCCGCAGGCTAGATTTTTTTCGTATTTTCAATTTCAATGTGTCAATGTCTCATACACCACATAGTCCAATAATTTGGTGGTTTGCACAGGAAAAAATTGCTGAAAATTTTTTCTCAACGGATCCATATGTTTTTTGGGATGCTGAATCTGATCGGATATGGCTTCACCGTGAAAATGGCAGGAAATTATGAAGAATTTGGAGTTGTTCAATTTTTTCGCTCATAACTCCGAAACGACTTGATATAGAGAAAAATTAGCGCAGATGAAAATGGAAGCAAATGAAATAATTTACAAAAAATAATAAGCTCGCTAACTTATCTGATTCAGCCGCTAGAGCGCGCTAAAGATTGACCATAGTTTTCAAGTTATTCAAAATATTCGTATTTCAGACTTTCAAAGCCTACGGAATCTGCACCCTTCGTTGATTGGGTCTGAAGTCAAAATTGAATCCATAATATAGGGCTGCTTGTGAAAGACACTTACGGATAAAAATAAATAGACAATTGTCCAAAAATTCCTCTAGTGCAGTTTAGGCAGTAAACGGTCGCTTGCTGTAGATTTATTTCTTTCGTGGCCTCTACATATTGATGAACATCTATATTCAATGTTTGTTGTGACTGGTGATATGTTGGTTATATGAACAGAAATATTGATACCTTCAGTTTCATACGAGGTTCCTGGCAATTCCTCAGTAGCCTCCTGCTCATCATTCCCGATACCAGAACTAGGCAGGACATCTGAAAAATATCACAGTTACATCGTTTGAGTAATTGTGTTCAAAAAAGAATAGTCAAGCTATTGAGTGTTTCAAGAAATTATTCACATATGTGAACGATCAAGTACTCTCTTCAACAGCAAAGTCCTGCACAGTCTCTTCGTTTTCATCATCCAGATCGTCGTCATAGTCGGAATACATCTGACTGTTGCTACAATAGCCGGAATAGCCCTCACAGCATTTGCACATTTTGGAACAGAACAACCCGACCTTTTTGCAGCCGCAGTTTCGTTCACAATCTTGTATGCATTTGCAGGCAACAAGGTGTAACAGCTTGTCTGGTGCACACAGTTCAATGGTTGTTTCCGGCATCAATCCGTTGTTTGTCAAGTACCATCCCCAGAGCAAAAGGTTTTTGGTGTTGCCAAGCCATGCCTGAAATTTGTGATATACCCTGCGGCAGTGATGGTGTGCAGCGGACAGTCGGATCTAGCTCAGCAATATTGAACCTCGTCTTGAATGCAGACTCCACATATTGCTTGTATCGCTCAGCATTGAGTGATGCTTCAGACCTTGTTTCACCGTAGAGAGCGACGAGGTACTGCTCTGCTGATTGTTGAATGGTCTCGGGATCGCAGACAGAGTTTTTGAAGGCCTTCAGAGTGGTTCCAAGAGCAGGGTAGTTCATGAGAGAAGAATATGTTCTGCTACAAGGGGTGTAACAGCGTTGGGTGGGTGGTATAATTTCGATTGCACATTCTTCCTCACAGGTTTCAGGAAATAGACATTTGAATCTGTAGGGAGCCCAATCATGATCACCAACAAGTCAACGTCTTCGCCTACAATCACTACCTTGTCAAATTTATATGAATGAATATTGGCAGTAGTAAGTTTGAATCTTCTGTCGCCTGTTTCACACTTGATTTCCTTGTCAACTTGTTCAAACTTTTTCATCAACATCTCAATCAACCAAGCTTTGTTTTCAGAATTTGACAAGAGATTTCCTCGAGATACTGCTACAGTCATTGTCTCATTGATGATTATGTCTGTCGAAATTTTCTTTGTTTGCCTTCGCAAGCGCTCCACATTTTTTGTGCTCTGTTTTGGGTCAGGATATCCATTGAATATTACTGCAGCGGTTGACGAGTAATGTCATGAAATAAATGTTGATGAAGGAGGTTCAGAATACTCCATGGTGAGACACACTAGGCGGAAACACTAGCCTGGCGATGTATACTAAATTTAAAATCTGCAGTACGAATATTTTGGACGACTTCGAAACTATTGTCAATTTTCAGGGTGCTCTAACGGCATAAACAAACAAGATATCGATCAGATGTTGATCCTGTTTTATAGTGAATGTTATAGGCTTTCATACTTTCGTGGTGAAGCCATATTCGAATCTTGTCGATAACTAGATTTTCAGATTCAGCACCACAAAAACTATATAGATCCGTCGAGAAAAATTCTCTAGCAATTTTTTCCTGAATCCAGCGATTTCCGTCAACAAATGACTGGATCAACAACCAATACTGAATTTAAATCCCAGGTACGACTTCGACCTGAAGCTGGAGAAACCGCGACGCTACTTCTTCGCCAGCAACTTCATCCCCCTGTGGGCGGGCGCCTTCGATGAGTCCGTTAGGGAAGAGAGGGGCGGCAAGGCGGTAGACTACCTGCGCAGCCAGGGCATCACCAACTACCGGGGGGGAATCCCCGCGTCGCTCTTCCCCACCGGCCAGCAATGGGACTTCCCGAACGCGTGGTCGCCCTACCAGAACTTGATCATCATAGGTTCGTTGTTCGTTATTCATTTCGAAAGAAGGAGAGCTCAAAGTCATCTCCACAACTTTAATAATGATAATCTTTGGTAGAAGTCCATGGTTTCTCAAAGTGGAGTCAAGTATTAAATACCAAATGATACACGAAGGAAATTATTGAATCTGTTAGAGATTTTTCAAATCAACAATTCCTTGAGTAACAACAATGTCATTTCACTGAATGAACAAACCCACTATGATAGATAGCCTGAAATTTTTCAATTCTTCACATTTCACAAAATAAAATTATCTTACAAAATTTTTTGAATATTCTCCTGCCTTGGTCTTCGATTTTGCCATTGAATTTTTGAGTTCTACCATAACCTCACAACATAACCTGCAAACTTCTTCTTCTTTCCTTTTACCAGTACACCGATGGAATGTCACCGCTGGGTGGACAGTCACCAGCATGTTGTCTCGTGCCACTTGTCTTTTTTATTGACTTGTCGTGTGCATGACTCATGCCGTGGTTCTTTTCGCCTGGTCAGATGATATCCGTCGTGTGCTGGTACAGGGCAAGATGGACACGTTTCCAATTCCATTTGATGGTTATTACGATCATAGATTAAACAAACAATAGATAGGCAATGTATATGGGCCGATTTCTGCACGTGCGAATTTGTCGCCATCTGCATATTAGTAGACACACTACGCGTCTTTGAGGAAAAATTACAGTTTCCTATAACCATTAGGAGACAGCTAGTGAACATGAATGAATTAGGATAGCCAATGAAAACATTTTCAACTCCATTGATGAATGGTAGACAGGGGCGTGCTGCATCGACACACGAAAATTGCACACGAGTGGCAGTAGCGGCACACACATAAGGGCAGGAAACCTATGACTAAAATATTATATCTTTAAACGAACAATACTTGTATAATGTGAATCTCGTAAACCGTTCCAACAATTTTTATGAAATTTTTATGAATTTCGTATACATGGGGTTTCGAGGGCGATAAATCGATCTAGCTAGGATTCATTTTCAGAAAATGTATATACCGGGTGTAACAAGATCATGGCACGCCAAACCATTTACGACTCCAACGATTTTCATGAAATTCCGTATACAGAGGGTTTCGAGGGCGATAAATCGATCTAGCTAGGATTCATTTTTACACTCTTTATGAAGTTTACATAACGTTAACTGATCAACTATGAATTCCATATGTTCTCTGCATTCAACTTCGTTATGAAAGATGGGACACTTTTTCGACAGCTTTCTGAAAATTTTATTCTTGATGAATAGTTTTGTTCTATTTATATATGGTTTCTTGAGGAATGTTTTTGAAAAAGAAGTTAAAGCTACATCAACCATAGTCTTGAATTCGTCAGTGGGGTATTTTAGATGTTGTATGTTCTTACTATAATTTTTATTGATTATCAATAATTGTTTTTCGTCATTCATTATATTGTCGAAATCGTTAACTATCAAATTATTTGCACAAGGATTACATTTGAATTTATCGATACATTTTTTTGCCAAGTATCCTGCAAAATAAGCATTCGAACAATCTTCCAGGGTTATGGGTGAATATTCATTTTCGAGTTTATTTTCCTCATCATTTGAAGAAGACGAGGATGATGGAATCACTTGATTTTCGAGTAAATTCTCTGTAGGAGGATTGTCAAGATTTTCCTCGACATTTTCATTCACATGACTAGTAGATGGAACTGTCATCAAATTAATATCATCATCTTCTTCACAATTACTTAAATCTGATGACTTCATTAAGTTCATTTTTGCTATGATACGAAAGGTACACCTGAAAGTTCTAACCGTTGGGTTTGGAATCCGCCTCTTTGCCTTACACTTGAAAAAGTATTTTCAATAACATCTTGATTTAATCTGTTGTTAATAAATAAGTGAATCCTAATTCTTTTTGTTCATTATAAATTCCCAATATTGAAGACAAAGTGATCAATATTCCATCAAAACTGTCAGGTCTAGAATATCCAGTTGTAGTAACTTTCTTAATTTCTATCAATGTATCTCTTGCAGAAGTGATCGTATTTTCGAATATATATAGGGCGTTCCTCGGACATTGCGCAACTATATGGATTCTTGGAATACAACTGCTTACTGTTCAAACAATCGATCAAATTATTCATCATCTGGAAGAAATCTGCTGTAGCAAGAGCAGTATCACTTTCTAATTGTTTGGTTTCATGACAAGTTCTAATAGCTGCGGCAATAGAATTGCTGAAAATTTGGAGTGCCAACCGACAATTCATTTTTTCGAATGCTGATGGATTCATGTGGGCAGGAGTGATCTTGAGTAAAGTCCTTCCTGTTGTACTACATGTGTCAATATTATATGTCTTCCTCACATCATCAAACGATTCTCTCCTATTCATCCAGATAAAGTCATGGTGCAATAAATTATTTCTAAAGTTCTTGAACAAATGGAGCGGATCAAAAATACAATATATTCTTCGGCTTTCGATTTCGAAATATGGTTTTCCAATGGAGACATGTAAATTCCTCATAGCTGCCTGGTTGTTTGTTCCCTGGTCACACACTACTGCCTTGACAATAAGGCCAGTATTTGTCACCTGTTGAATGGCTTTGATGATCACTTCTTTCAGGATGGTATGTTTCATAGCACTACCACAGACAAAATATCCTAATGGTATCTTCCACTTGGAATATAGTCCTCTGGCCAAAAGTACCATCACTTGTGTCCCCGTCGTCTTAGATCTACCACTTATTATTCCTAGGTCTTCGAATCCTTCAATTGTGTCCAATAACTTTGAATATTCAAATTTTCTTTTGATTTTCATTTCATCAAATTAAATACAAAATTTAATACCTTTTTAATGGAAAGTAAATTGCTTCCCCAACCACGATCTCTCTTTTCGTAGAAAGGAGTAAACAAAAATCATGATGGTATTCAAATAATATCTATGAATATGTTGGGTTGAAATATTCATCACTTGTGTATTTTTTCCTCCCTCAAGTTATTTCAATGTTACAAATTTATTTTACTGGCCCACTCTGAAATATTCTGAACTGACCACGAAGGGTCCGAATTTACTTTTTTTTTTGAGATCGATAATTGACGTACTATATTGATCCACCCTGTATTATAGAAAAATGGAAAAACCTATTGATGACTGAATTGCTCAAATTTTAGAGATTTAAAAAGTGTAGATTCTGGCTGGCTGTCACTGTTGGAATTCTCTAAATATCCCACTTGACTCGCCCTGTATATTCGATAATAGTTTCCAGTTATAGATTATTTGATATAGTTTCATAACGATATCAAATGTTATTTATAGCTTTTGTATGCTATTATATAGAACCCGAACTCAAGCAATCGAGGTGGACGTATATATATACAGGGTGGTCCAGGTTGAACGTCATTAAATTTGATAGGCGACAGAAAAACGGGAAAGAAGTAGACTTTCATGATAAAACTTTGGTTGAAAATGCTTCCTAACAGAGATACAGGGTGTCAGAGTTTAGACACCTCGATTGAGTTCTCGGCGGCCGCGTTAAGTTTGGAATCATCAAAATCAATAGTGTAATGTGTACCTACTTCATTAACATTATTGAAAACCATACTAGTACAGCCTGTACAAAACCTCGAAAATTTTAGCCTTCTTGATGCAACCCTCTAAATTCGAATAAGTATCTTGAAAACGAAGCCATAAATCAAACATTTGCAAAGGTATTTTTATTCTCTAAATTGAACAAGAAATCCAAAAATGTAATCTTTTTGTAAAATATTTAGTGAAACCGAAGATTAGGAGAGGGAGAAGGATATGTCGACCCCCATTATCTACGCCACTGAAGAATTTCCTCGAATAACCTCAATCAGAGATGAAATACATTAGTATCTGTGCGAAATTTGATCAAAATCGGTCGAGTGGTTTGGAAGTAATGATGAGAAATCTAATTTCTGCCCACAAATTCGACACCCTGTATCTTTGATGGGAAGCATTTTTAACCAAAGTTTTTCCAGGAGTCAACTTTTTTCCATTGTTTTATCGCGTATAAAATTTAATGACGTTCAACCTGGAACACCCTGTATATATGTAGCTCCCAGATTCTCTCGATTCTGTAGATATGGAAAGGTATATAGACTTAGGTATAGTAATCTCTTGAAATTATCGGAATCGAAGAGAGTTGCTCAGATTTTAGATATTTGAAAAAGTGTAGATTCCGGCTGTCACTCTTGGAATTCTCAAAATTAATATCCCATTTGACTTACTCGCCCTGTATATTCGATAATGATTTTCAGTCAGAGATTATTTGATTTGGTTTCATAACGATACTAAATGTGATTTATAGCTATCATAATGCTATTATAGAACTAGAACTCAGGCAATACGAAGAGAACGTACTTATTATAGCCCCCTGTATATATTATGGAATATCCTAATGGCGACTGATGAGTTGATCAGATTCTGTCGATTCTGAAGATTTGAGAAGGTGTAGATCTCGGTGTAGATTTAGTTATCTCTTGAGTTCATCGAAATCTCTTCAACTCACCCTGTATATTTATGTCATGATTTGAAATTACAGATTATATCAATCATTGTAGGTATCAATGTTTTTGAATAAGATACCTGCCGTCAACGAACTCAAGCGATCAAAAAGGTCGTACGCATATTGACCCACCCTATATCATAGAATAACCCATTGACAAACCATAATTATGTTATTCAGATTCTCGATATTTTGAAATTTTAAAAATGTTCGATCTACAATTTTACTCACTCTGTATATTCGATAAGTTCCAGCTTTTTAGATATTTCAATTTATTTTTAATCTATGTTTAAAGTATACGTTTCAAAATCAAGTTTCAATTCATCTTGACCTACCCCGTAAAAAAAACAATGAAGACTTCCTACACGCGCGTGAATAAAAATAATCATCGAAGGAACCATATCTACCTCATACAAGTTATTTTGCTACCTGTTAAGACCCTTTCATGTTGTGAGCCATAAATCATGATCCTTATCTTGATGCCACGCCCAAAACTATTATTCTTTCACAATATTTTACTACGAGTCGATCGATAAAAGAGATAGAGCGCCATCTGACATTTGGCGATAATACTAATGTGAATTTGGCGTACAAATTATGAGCGTTACCAATTTGTACAGGGATTGTCTATCTAATGTTACGATGAAATATTGTATGGTAATTTCCGGGGATTTGTTGGATTTTCCCATTCAATAATTTTTTTGAAACCCAAACAAGGAAAACATTTTCGAAATGTCAAAGTTGGTCACATAACCTCTTTTTTATCTCCATGTAAGCACTCTTATTCATAACCCAGGCAACCAGATGACGTTCCAGTGACGTCTTTTTTACGTCACTTGAATGACCAAGGTGACGTCAGTAGTTGACGTCGCATGACGTGATAATGACGTGAATAAGTCACAGCCCAATAACGTCATATTACTCACGTCGTATTGACTTCATTCACTTACCAAACTGTGACGTCCGACTGACGTCAAAATGACGATTAAATTTGGCGATGATACGTAAAAAAGATTCCTTTCACATGGTGTGATAAACACCATATAATATTGATTATGCATTGTTGTCGTTGAGTCTACTTGGTGGGTTCCTCCTGTGTCATGTTCATTCAATCGCCTATTCAGCAGCGCTATCCTTCAGTACGCATCTCCATCAGAATGCAATCAGTTACTCGTATTTGTATCAAACATTATGTAGTTTGTGTGGGCGTGATGTAAGCAAACAATGAATAGTTTGATAGCAATGGAAAGGATGTTGGCGAATTTGACTTCACTTCGTTGAATAATGTATATTGATGCATTCTTTGTCACCCAGCAAAAATCTAAATAGCCAATTATTGAAGAATTCCCTGAATGATGAAGCTCACCAAATTGGTACGTCACACCGACGTGATTTTTAGACGTCATAGATACGTCACTGCTACGTCATGAGAGTAACGGTTTCAATATAGGTATACCTGAACAATCATTTGTATATATACATAGGTTGTTGGTTTCTGAGACATACAGTGTGTCAAAGTTTTTCAGAAAAAAGTTTCCTCCTACTTTTCGGGTATATCAATAATTCCAATATAACTTGCATATTGATTTGCTTTCATGAGTTATAATATACTTCTGTTTCACATGATATAATATATAAGTATCCATGGTTTGTAGTAGGTCTAGGAAAAATGGACGTCGACAGGACGTCCCTGCAACGTCATGAAACTGACGTCATTTTTTACCCATCGAAGTGACGTTTACTCGACGTCAAAACGATGACGTGATTATCACGTCATAGAAAGTACGTCACAGTGACGTGATCATTCGTCATCTGGTTGCCTGGGAAGAACTTGCACTCATGGAAATCAAAAGTCAAGTTCCAGAAAAAAAAATTGGTTGTAAGAAAGAAAAAAACTAGGGTTCCGTACACTTAAGAGAACGCACTGAAATTCAAAAATCAATTTAGAATTGATGGGGCCAAAATCCAAATACGTTAAATCCAACATAGAGGACATATAGCTAAACTAATTAAACACTGGGATGAATGTGAATTCGACTAGTGGCAGTACAGTTAGGAATAATTCAAACAGAAATGACAATGAGGAGATTTTGGGGAGTGGGAGGAAAATTCCAACATGGATGGTTGAGTAGCAAATCCGGAATATAAGCAAATGAATAATAAAAAAGAGGAACCAAAGGAGGTGCAAAACAACATAAAACAAAATCTGGTTTTTGATAAACTCTAGAGAATTGAAATATTCAATCAGGGCCTACTCTATCTCACCCAGTAGGCCCTGATTCAATGCAGTCACGTTTTTGGCTTTTGGCCCCATCAATTCTAAAATGATTTTTGAATGAAAGTGGTACTCTCTCAAGGGTACGGGACCCTTTATATTATAACAGCGCTTATGATGATATAAATTTTTTTAAATTATCCAATCCACTGAAAGTAACTAAAGTAACCTAACCTAACCTAACCTGACAACCCAGTAGTTCGCCCAGGTAAATAGTAGACAACCCAACGGCTGCACATTCTATACGTTTTATACTTTCAGTCAGGACACAATTTTTTTATTATCCTGATGTTGCAACATTTAATTAAAAATAATTTTTCGAAAAATAATTAAAAATAGTCTGCCCAGGATTTTTTTAGCCAACCCATTTTTAATATGTTTTCTAATATACTAAATTCATGATAAAATATATTTCGTTCTATTATCAGCTCGGTGAAGGTCGATGTAGGTTCGGATCTTCTACTATTAGTTTTTTCCTGTCTTACAACCAAAAATGGTTATTACGAGCACATTGAGTGCTCGTCATGTTTTTTTCCCTTCTGGGACTTGACTCTTAATTTTCATAAGGCTTTGATATAGAAAAATTCTTTGAGCGCAGTGACATCTTGAGGCAAATCATCTGATCTGTCCTAACTACACGTATATTGAAATAGTATTCATATTTTCATTTTATAGAGACGAGGAGAGAAGATCCCAAAAAATCGGGAATAATGAATCTTCCATTTTTGTTGTTGATAAGTCGGTGGTTTCATTGCAGGTTTGGACAAGTCCAAAAACGGAACGGCCATTGAAGAGGCCAGGCAGTTGGCGCACAAATGGGTGAACTCCAACATCAGGGCCTGGCACGAGAACAAGGTTATGTTCGAGAAGTACAATGCGCAGAACAGCGGCCAATTCGGTGGTGGGGGGGAGTACCACATACAGGCCGGATTTGGATGGAGTAACGGTTGCGTTTTGGAGCTGATCCATCTGTATTTCAGAACCAAGACCAGGAAATATATGGGTGGATTTCAATGAAATATACGGTTGCTCAAAAAAAATGGTTTGCATTGAAAATAAACGGAACCGTAGAAGGTTCACGTCACATTTTTTTGTTTCTGAATAGACACATACAACTGACTATTAATGCATTTGTAACTGTCTATTCAGACAGTTTATATTACTGTCCATTCAAAACTTGTAACTGTTCTCCAGAATCGAATTGACTTGGATCAAATTGTATTGAATTAAATATATTTAGTTCAGATATATCACACTATTTCGAAACATGTCGAAATAAAATAGGAAAGTGGAACGAACGAATATGTCGTGGAACGGGCGAGTGGACTGATAATGAATTATCGGCATTATAATTATATACAGGGTGTCCGCTAAAAGGAGGTCAATCCATTAACCACATATTCCTTGAACAAAAACAATATGAGTTTCTAAATATCATTTTTCATTTTAGCCCTTCATATTCGGTATACAGGGTGTCAAAGTTGGAAATTAAAAACTGTTTTTTTCTAATTACTCGCGTATTTGATAAGATATCAATCTCAAAATTGGTACATTACTTCAGCACAAAGAGTTACATCGTGTGAGGAAAATAAAACAGAAAATAACTGTCAAATATTCAAGATACTGGGGGTCAAGTTCACACTTACCCCCATATTTTGTTTGTACGTGCGCTAATGACTTCCTATCTATTTTCCTTCAAGTGTTCAATCATTTTTGAGTATTTTTTGTTTCCTGTAAAATTTCGATTGAAGCATTTGTTTTTAAGATAATGCGAAAAGTACTGGTTATTGTTTGATGCCTATGCGGCTTAGGTAATCTCATAATGTTCACATACTCCTATTTATTTCGTCGAAATTGAAAGAGGGCGTATCTTTTCACGTACGAAAAGGTAAATATGGAAATACCGGGTGCTCGGAGCAAATGTACTAAAATAATTTTCACAAAAAAAAAATTAAAAAGTGTAAAAATTATTTTAATACATTCGCTCTGAGCACCCGGTATTTCCATATTCACCTTTCCGTACGTAATAAGATACGCCCTCTTCCAATTTCGACGAAATAAATAGGAGTATGTGAACATTATGAGATTACCGTAAGCCGCAAGGCATCAAACAATAACCAGTACTTTTCGAATTATCTTAAAAACAAATAATTTTATCGGAATTTTACAAAATTCAAAAAATACTCAAAAATGATTGAACACATGAAGAAAAATAGATAGGAAGTCATTAGCGCACGTACAAAAAAAATATGGGGGTAAGTGTGTACTTGACTCCCAGTATTTTGAATATTTGACAGTTATTTTCTGTTTTGTTCTCCTCACACGATGTAACTCTTTGTGCTGAAGTAATGTACCTATTTTGAGATTAATATCTTATTAATTAGGCGAGTAATTAGAAAAAAACAGTTTTTAATTTTCAACTTTGACACCCTGTATATCGAATAAGAAGGGCTAAAATGAAAAATGGTATTTAGAAACTCATATTATTTTTGTTCAAGGAATATATGGTTAATGGATTGACCTCCTTTTAGCGGACACCCTGTATAATCTCCAGAAGTTCAAAAAAATTTCAATACCTACCTCTTGTCCCTATCCTCCCTAGGAACGCACGATGTTCTTTGAACATTATAGGGATTTCCTTTCGTGCGCTCAAGCGATAAAAAAAATCTTATACCTACATTTCAGGAAGGGTATCGCATTTCATGTAATCTTTTCATTTTCATGAATTATAATGTGCAATTTGGACAATATCTAAGCATTTTTATCTTTCCTCATGAACTTCAGAGATAGGTATGCCAAGGTAAGGAGTTGTCCGTTTTTTTCTGAAACGAAGCAAGATACGAAAAAAATACACGAAACATGAATGTTGTATTTTCAGTGGGTTTATCTGGATACTCAAGAAGAACCCGGGAAAAAAATCAGGGTGACTTTTTTCCTACAAAAAAGTCGACTTGCACTATGGGTACGCCCCTGGAAACCCTGGATCAAGTCTAATTAGTCCAGTGAATATCTGATAAATGTCTGAATAAACCATTGAAATCTTCTAATTGGCTTAAGCGTTTTCAAGATGTTGAAAAAATATATTTTTTTCCTTAAACTTAGATACCCTGTATCTCGGACTCGAAGCATTTTCAGACCCATGTTTATACGTAATAATTGGTTTAAGACCAATAATTTATTATTGATTGGATTTAGCCATTTTCGGAGGAAACGGTGACAGATAGCGATTTTTACAAGAGTACCTTTTTTATGTAAAAGGCATTGGAGAATCATAATCAGATATAAAAATGGTAATAAATTAAAGCCTAAGAGGAGTAGGGTCAAATTTACCCAAATACCCCCTTGGTTTGTACGCCCCTGGTTAAAGGTGACAAAATCCGGAAGGCTCAAATTGATGAACCTACGAACTAGATTTCATGTCCCAAAATTGGTTGCGATAGTTGCAGTAGTACCGAAGCTATAAAACGAAAAGTAGTTTTTGAAGGTCATCTTCGAAGGGCCCTAGCTCTCTGAAGAAGCGTTTCCGGACCCATGTTCACATGAACTTTTTTTTTATTTTCGTGTGTTTTATCTACCCTAGAAGTCTGTAACATGATCACCGGAACACCCTGTATAAACTTCTTTATATATTGTTGAGAGGAATCTACCCTAGGATATTGTCACCACATCTCTGAAACACCCTGTATAGACCAAAGAGCTGTCTTCTTTAGGGAGCCGAACACTCGCGAACACTTCACTTGGCCTCGAAATACAACAACAAAAAATGTAGATGATAATAATAAAGTATTTATATTGTTTCTACGTATAACATAGTCATAATATATCCAGAGATTTTAGGTGGTTCCAACATTGCTGAAATAAACATCTGGTGTACGCACTTCAATCCTTTCCTGTTTTACAATCCCTTAATTCTCGCTTACTTCGATTAACATAACATGGCGTGGGTGAATCTCGCTAAGTTTAGTCTGGTGCCGTACCAAAATTACAGGCATATAAAAAACATTTTGCGATTTAGCCGCATCAAGGTTAGTAGAAGTGCTGTTGATCATAAGTTCTAGGAATCTAGGAATCCATCCATCTTACAATCGATATGTGAACTCTACGTCATCGCCTGAAATTCAATTGTTTATATCAAGAACCAGTTTGACGAAACAAATGAAGAGTGAGCGCACCAGAGGTTTATTTCATCAATGTTCCAACGATGTTTTTACTGAGTGTTCATTTTGGCATCTTTGTTTCCATAAGCTGCAAAAACTGATCCAATCCAATTTGATTCTCCCTATAGTACGGCAACTGCTTCATTTTCTTCAACCAAGCCGTGATCTTGGGAAATTGCGCTTCTGAGAGCGGCACAAACACTGCCCAAGAGGTGATGCTGGTGACGAAGCTGAAGTCTGCAATGGTCATCTGATTCCCTGCAACATACTCAGTCTTCTGAAGGAATTTCTCCACCATATGGAAGGCTTCTGATAGCTGGTCCAGAAGCTTTTGAGGAATTTCTCTGGCTTCTTCAAAAATCAGGCTCCTCTGGAATGGGTAATAGGTTAAAGAAGCATCTTAGCAGTATAGTTTTTGAACTGACAGACTCTTGACAGGTTGAAACGAATCAAGCTTGTTCCCAATTCTCTTTCGATGATTAATTCAAATGAGGTGTCAGAGTGATGTCAGTGCACGTTAATTATCTCCACATTCTTCAATTTGAGTTCGAAAATCGTCAAAGTATCAATTGTATTTCAAATTAGTCAATTTGATTTCAAAAAGAATCATCACACTTCCGATGGGAACACCTGAAAATTTCATTTTTGTCTCACCTTTCATGGAAACAGCCCCGTATCTTAAGTAATCGTTGGGTTAGGATCCTGAAATTTGCTTTAGCAAGAGATATACCAAAAATGTAATCTATAAGCAAGTGATGTCATCTTCAGTGCTCGCCAATAGTCATGGAACCACCTCAATTCACGGAAAGTGATATTAGGAGGCAAAATAGGTTGAAAATCACTGAAAATTCATATTTTTTCTGAAAACTTTGTCAATTCTGAAAATTTCATTTTTGTCTCACTTATGGAGACACTTGTGGAGACACCCCCGTATCTTACGTAATTATCGAGTCAGTTCTCATCATGGATAATAAAATAGCAATCTGAAGTAGTATAATCGAATAGATCATCAGGAGTGATCCAATGGATCAGAAATCATGACGGGTGTCATTGAGAAGAATTATGAATGGCTGGATTCGTTAATATTGGAGAAATTATGTACGACATACAGAGAAAGTGATATTTTCGGCATGGGAGACGGAGAAAAACATAGGTGCTTCCAATATCGAACCTCTCGTGATAACTTTCAATTCAGATGAGAGCGATACTTCATCGGAGGAAGGGTCAATGAGTTCTAATGAAAATATTCGTTTTTGAAAAATGTTACTTTCTGAATAATTCATATTTTCATGTGACGAGTTATACTCTACTTACTTCCTTGCAGAAAGCCAAAGACAACACATTTGTTAAAAAGAATTTCGAACCTCTAGTTGATATGAAGAGTAATACATCTTCACATATTTTCTTTATAATTTTTTCCTCAAATACCTTTCAACATCTTATTTCACGAAGTGTCACTGACTATCAGCTGAAAAAATTCTTTCAGGTCTGAAAATAAATGTTTAAACACCTCGGGGCAAACAAAAATCTCCACACCCAGTCATCCACAGAAACTTTTATATCTCTATATATTTTTTTTAGAAATGAGGCGAGAAAACTAATAATTTTTTTTGATATTTTTTTTGTCAAAGCATTATTCGCTTGTAAATATATTTGCGAAAAACAGATGATGTTGAACAGCTTGAGAAATATTATGGTTCATTTATTCCAAAATCTGATAAGTGAAGTCATATTTTGGATTGCAGCTAATATTTTTAATTTTTATTATCGCTCAAGACGAACGAGAGAGAATCACTATTTTATGTTCGTAGAACATCGTCAATCCCTGGGGTGGAAATAAGGGAGAGAAGGTAGGTATTGAAATATCAAGAGTTATCCTTTGTTCATGGTGCAAGGGATCTCATACCGAATTTCGTATTTCCAACATTTATTTCGGGTAAGTATTGAAAACATCTCGTTAGGTTTCCCGAACTGATTTTCCGCGACAATACTGTTCAGTGTTCAACTATAGTTATTCGTTTTTTTAGGTAAATATATATTATGAATCTTTGAGAAAAATGTAATGGTACGCACATACACTCCTATATCCGTTCTCGTGGACTTCGATGAACTGCCATATTCGTTACCATGATTATCATGATTGTCAAAATCTGGAATACTTAAGAATACACATGCGAATGGTAACCAGAAATTCTATCGGCTTTTGTTTTGTGACTTGGTGTATTTCCACGACTTTATAGTATGAAGAAAATCGTTACCGATGATAATGCGTCAAAATATTAAAGGTTAGAGAATTGGACGTTCTCTTCTCGGATCCGAAGTGATTTTCAACCTGTCTTGGCTCTTGATATTATTTTCTGGACACATGTGTACAGTTCCACGGCTGCTGGTCATAGAGCACATTTTTGGTATATCTCTCGCTCCAGCAAATTTCAAGATACGATAACCAACGAATACGTAAGATACAGGGGTGTTTTCATTAGAAGTGAGACACACTGTATATTTTGAAATTATTAATTTCATTACAGAATGCATCAATTATAATTCAATTAGTTATTTTATTTCGGAAAAATAACATTCCAATATAAACATTCATCATTTCAATTTCAAACCGCATCATTTTTATTTCGAAATCAGTCTACTATATCACAAAAATTCTGGATTCTCCATCATTTTGTTTCTTTCAATTATTGGATTTTCAAATGTCCCATTGTGTAATACAGTTCTTTATCTTTGGAATAACTCTAAGAGATGCAAGTTCGATTGAATTTTCATGAAGCCTGAAGCAAAATAATAATAATCGTTTATACGAGATAAGCACATTCACTCCATAACAAATTGCAAGGAAATGAGTGTATCTACTGGACTATTTGTTCGATTTCGATGTTCGAGTACCCATTCTCTTCAGAAATGAATAGCCTAACATAACATCGGTACAGGTTGGAAAAAATCTGATTTTCTTTTTCTCCAGTGGTTTTTGTGAATGACAATACTTTGGTAGAATCCGCCATTTTGTTTTTGTTCATTATGGAATTTTCAAATATTCCACTGTATACTATAGCCCTTTAGCTATGAAACGACGCCTAGAAATTCGAATTCGGTTGAGAAATGATGAAATTATATAAATTACAGGTATCAGAAATGATGACACAACAACAGGGTGAATGAAAGAAAATCTCACCTAACACCCACCTAACCTTTGCCTGTGCTTTTTCAGTTTTGAAATTAAAATGATGCATCACGAGATATATTTTGATATTTTTGGAAATAAAAATGACTAATTTGGAATTTGAAGTGCTAGTTTTTGAAATTTATTCGATGAATATGAAATACATTCGATGTTTTTCAAATCAAAATAACTCATTTGAAATTCAATTGAAGCGTTTCTAAATTGGATTAATAATTGTTAAAATAAAATACATTTGATGCTTTTTGAAATCGAATTGACTAATTTGAAATACAAATGATGCGTTTCAAAATCCAAATGACTATTAGCAAATTCAATTAACAATTTTTGAACTAAAATTGGAAAAGATTTAGTTTATAAGTATCAAACAATGAGTAAAACTCACTGAAATTATGAGTCCCCTGTTGAAAAGAATGCTGCTATCAAAGTGCAAACGATGGTCTACTATGGCCCTTTCTCGTAAATCAGTAGGGTAAAGAGTCTTATCCTTGCCATATTTCGACACCAGATATGGCATGATGGCGTGACTATCTGGCAAAATGAAACCGTCATCATCAAGGACTGGAATTGTATGCTGAGGATTCATCTGAAAAATAATATAATATATAAAATTCTCCTGTCCCTGTCACGGTATTTGTTGCCAAACTCCTCCTTATAAAAATATTCGTGCATATTCGGTTGGTCTGAGAATCGGTCGTAAACTATTTTTCAAATGGAATTCAAGATGTCGGATCCAATATGGCGGACGAGATTTTGTAATTATGGTCCAATTCTATTCAAAATTGGTGTCTGGGGAGTTTCGTGGTCGGAGATTATAGTTTGTTCTTCAAAATTGGTGAATTTGAGATGGTGGACCCAATATGGCTAACGAGCTTTGTAATAATTAGTATAGTTTAACTATAATATAACACGCTTCTTTCCACCACTAGCTATTGAAGCCTAAAGTGTGTTTTTAGTACTAAGATAGTTTTCGTCATTGTATGAACCAATAGTCAATAAAGACATAGCCCCGTCTGTTGTAATTAACCCGAATGTAGTGTTCTGCAGAGATTCGCAGGAATGCATGGCAGTGGAATCTAGTAGGTACCTATATCAAATAAGTGCTTTCATAGTGACAATAGGTCCATATTTCGGTTTCACAGAACAAAAATGTTTGACATAATATATTGCTAGTGGTGAAAAGAATTCAATATACAGTTGTGTCCCACTTACCATGCTCACCATGGGTATCTTTTTAACGGTAAGAGATACGAGGTCGGTTAAATGACACCAAATGTGGAGTTCGTCAAGGTCAACTATAATTTGAAAAAATATTTTGATAAAATCTATTCGTTTTTGTTTTATACGCAAAAAACAGATTTTGATCATTTTCATGTCTCCTCCGTAACTTCTTTATTTATGAAAATATTCAAATAGGAATTTCACATTCTCATGGCTGTTTTTTGAAGTGATTTCGAAAAAAATATGAAATTTATACCAACTCTTCTAGAATTTGAGATATCAGCACCAACTTCAGTTTTTCAAATGTAGGTGATAGCTCACTATGACTTATTCACAAATAACTTTTTTTCTCACACAGATGATATGTCGCAGTAATAGCTTTGTTTTTGGGTGTATGATAAATTGACATTCATCATACAGGGCGTGGAAATGAATTCTGAATTGAGACTCTATCACGAATCTGCGATTAGAGGTCTATAAAAATCACAAGTTTCCATCGTTCAAGTTTGAACCCCCTGATTGGGTATGAAAGTGTTGAAAAGGAATATTCTCAGATGAATTATGAACATACAAAAATGGATATATATTTATATAAAACAATACATTGAGAATTCGCATTCTCTATGTGATGAGAATATTTACTCTTTTTCAGTTAATTCAATAGAAAACAACTACTTTCCTGGCTATATGCCACGACGAACATTGAATTATATTTATTGAACACACACGATAAGAGTTTGAAAATAAAATATAAAAATTTCTGAAATTGAGAATTTGCATTCTCCTTCAGACAAAAATATGTATATACACACATCATTCTGAATATTCAACAGAAAACAACTACTTTCCTGGCTATTTGCCACGTCGAACATTGAATTATATCTGATGAACATTCAAAAGGGAACATGAAAAATAAAGAATAAAATCCTCCGAAATTGAGAATTGACATTCTTCTTCAAATCGGATGAATAATATGATGAATAATGATCTAGAAATATGACTTACCAATATATTCAGCATTGAAATGAAAATTGGAATGTATAGGAGAAGTATACTGGCATGAACTCTGATCTTGATGAGCTTGAAAACGTCCAAAAATAATCATTCATATCAGTGATATGGGAAATATTATCTCTCACACACAGGTTATATGACTTTATTGCAATGAACCCATTTCGGATCTCTGAATCCTCATCAGTAACCATGATGTCCACTTATTCTTACAGCCATTCTTCATGATATACACAATTTTCATCTCTTTATAATACAACTAAAATCGAGTAAAACTATAACGAAATGACATCTGAGAAATTTGTTGACATTCTATTCCTGTCATTTGGACGTTTTTGCTTTTGGGTGTATGATAAATTGACATTCATCATACAGGGCGTGGAAATGAATTCTGAATTGAGACTCTATCACGAATCTGCGATTAGAGGTCTATAAAAATCACAAGTTTCCAATGTATTGTTTTATATAAATATATATCCATTTTTGTATGTTCATAATTCATCTGAGAATATTCCTTTTCAACACTTTCATACCCAATCAGGGGGTTCAAACTTGAACGATGGAAACTTGTGATTTTTATAGACCTCCCCAGGTAGCACATCATATTGGCTGGAACCCGATTTCATATTGGGCCGATATAGATATATCGTACATGTGAAAAATAATATAGGTCCAATATGAGAGTATATTGGACAAACAATATTGGAATGATAATATTGGTGGAATATTGGTTCAACCTGAGCTGAATATGGATTGTCAGCTACAATATTGGAGCAATATTGGTTGTAAAATTCGTTAACAATGTGTTGAAAAACATATCTATGAATGTTATATAATATTGTTTTACGAATGTCGATACAACAACATCGTATACATATTGTTCCCGACATTTACAACCAATATTGCAATTTGAACATTCTCCCCATGTCGATTCTGAAGCGGTTATGCAATATTGTATTTTCAAGTTAAACGGCATATCGGTTGGATATTGTTTTAACAATATTTGAAACATTATATATTCACCCATCTTGATTGATATCATTTTATCTATATCATGCGGAAGATATCGTATACAATTTGCTTCTTACATCTATAACCAATATCGCGATTTGAATATTGTCCCCATGTTGATTCTGAAGCGGTTGTGCAATATTGTATATTTGAGTTCGACGGCATATTGGTTGAATATTATTTCAACAATATTCGAAATATCATATTCACCAATCTTGATTGATATCATTCTATCCATATCATGCGGAAGATATCGTATACATATTGTTTCCAACAATTATAATCAATATAGCAATTTGAACATTCTCCACATATCGATTCTGAAGGGGTTTTCAATGATTCAAATATGAATATCAATAACGGCAATTCAATATGTATCTTATATCGGACATAGAAGAGAAAAACAATATTGTATTTTCAAGTTCAATTGCATATCGGGTGAATAGTTTTCTAGCCATATTCAGAAAATAATATCATCTTATATTGGCTGATATGTGATTCACTATATCATGTAAGCAATATTGTTCACATATTGTTTTGAGAATACATATCGATATCGGAATTTCGATATTTATTCCATATCACGCACTCCTAAACCGATGTCGATAGATGGCGCTATAAATGATTGGTAACGTACTCTCATTGCCGATCCGACGAGAGAATTTAAATATTGGCTCTAGACGATTGTGAAGTATTATAACCTGGAGTAGGGGTTAACCGTGATCAACAAGGCGGCTTCCCAAGGGCAAGGCCCTCCCATTGCACTCCGGCTGGGCTGACCTTTGTGATTATTCCTGATGCGAATAACTCGCAAATATTGGTATGAAAATATTCCACCAATATTTTGAAGACAACATAGCTACATAATGATTTTCAATAATGTACCAATATTCCCAACCAATATTGCACCAATATAACTTCACGAATATACCAGCAATATTGGTATGAGAATATTCAACCAATATTTCTGAGACAACATACCTTCATGATGATTTCCAATGATTCACCGATATTTCCATATATTACACCAATATTGCCGAATGTTCACCATTAATTTCTCGCCAATATTGATATTACATTTTGTGTCCGATATTACTCTACGAATATTCAACCAATATTAATATGAGAATATTCTACCCACATTTGGAAACTGATATTGTACCAATATCGCCGAATGTTCACATTTTTTTTCTCGCCAATATTACTTTCACAATATTTTGCCGATATTTTCGTAATATTGCACCGATATTGTCCCAATATATGTGTGCTACTTGGGTCTAATCGCAGATTCGTGATAGAGTCTCAATTCAGAATTCATTTCCACGCCCTGTATGATGAATGTCAATTTATCATACACCCAAAAGCAAAAACGTCCAAATGACAGGAATAGAATGTCAACAAATTTCTCAGATGTCATTTCGTTATAGTTTTACTCGATTTTAGTTGTATTATAAAGAGATGAAAATTGTGTATATCATGAAGAATGGCTGTAAGAATAAGTGGACATCATGGTTACTGATGAGGATTCAGAGATCCGAAATGGGTTCATTGCAATAAAGTCATATAACCTGTGTGTGAGAGATAATATTTCCCATATCACTGATATGAATGATTATTTTTGGACGTTTTCAAGCTCATCAAGATCAGAGTTCATGCCAGTATACTTCTCCTATACATTCCAATTTTCATTTCAATGCTGAATATATTGGTAAGTCATATTTCTAGATCATTATTCATCATATTATTCATCCGATTTGAAGAAGAATGTCAATTCTCAATTTCGGAGGATTTTATTCTTTATTTTTCATGTTCCCTTTTGAATGTTCATCAGATATAATTCAATGTTCGACGTGGCAAATAGCCAGGAAAGTAGTTGTTTTCTGTTGAATATTCAGAATGATGTGTGTATATACATATTTTTGTCTGAAGGAGAATGCAAATTCTCAATTTCAGAAATTTTTATATTTTATTTTCAAACTCTTATCGTGTGTGTTCAATAAATATAATTCAATGTTCGTCGTGGCATATAGCCAGGAAAGTAGTTGTTTTCTATTGAATTAACTGAAAAAGAGTAAATATTCTCATCACATAGAGAATGCGAATTCTCAATGTATTGTTTTATATAAATATATATCCATTTTTGTATGTTCATAATTCATCTGAGAATATTCCTTTTTAATAGCTTTGTGTTGATAACAACGGAGTTATCGTCATTTATACAAAAACAAGAAATCATTTGGAAGCCGCCATCTTCAATTTATAAATATTAACAAAAAAATCATGATCTTCGACCTCAAAAACTCCCACTTACCAATTTTGAATGGAATCGGACCAAATCTTGTC